ATCTTAAAGCTTGTTCACTTGTCTTTATTTGGATGAAAAAAAATATCCATTTATCTTGAATACAAGTCGTGATATTTGCGAAAGAAATAGGTGGGGGTCACCTGTTTTCAGAGGTAAAACTAGTGAGAAAATGACCGCCAAAGATTAGTTATTTCCTTAGCTTTAGAGTCCGTGGTAACCGAAAATTTACATGTTTTTGTGCCTTTAATTAACGTTTTTCCAGAAAAATCCACACAGAAATGAGTTCTTTAATGGGTATGAAAGGTGTTGAGCCAAAAAACAAAAATTTGATAAAATTCACAAACCTGCGAAAAAGGCACATTTCTTCCCTTGATTATTTTGACGAGAGCCTGATTCCACCGCGCTGCCTCACATTTGTTCCTACTAGTGCAGAGGTATGAGGTTGAGTGAGCCCCTCCCCCCTTTATCCCCTCCCCCCGTTTATTAATTTTAGACCGCTTGTCCACCCCCCCTCCTTTTACTCCATATCTTAGAGTAATATGCATAGATGTACCATGTCAGAGCAACAACTCTTTTTTGTCTCCGTCACATCAAAGGAATCATGATAAGCTTGAAGCCGTCATCTTCTACTACCACCAAAAGAACTGCAAACAAATCGCAAAACAAATCGATAAAAAAGCTAAAGAACATTTAACCAATAAGCAACCACTAACAAACCCCATACCAGCAAGGACATTATTCTAATACTTTCCATCTAAAAAAGTAAGAGAGTTGTCATTAAATTTTATTTCAAAACAATAAACCACAACTGCAAACAGATAGGAAAACAAAGCCAAAAAGAAAACAACCGAAGACAATGACCCACCTTCGCTCCTTTGGCCAGCAACGCCTCAGCATACGCTTTGCCTAACCCCTGAGCCCCTCCAGTGATGAAGAAAACCTTTCCGGACACATCCATGTTAAATCACCACGATACAGCACGAGACTAAACTGAAAATTAAAAAAAAAAGCCACTGTGTAAGAAACAGATACCGTTTTATACCTTCTATAGGTAACTACTTAAAGATGCACAAAACCAAACCAAACAAAAACCAAACAAAACGTTTATAAGGTCACGTGAAACGTATACTCGCAACTCGCTGGTAAGTTAGTCTGTAAACTGTGGTAGAATTCTATATAATATAAGGATCTGAGGGTAAAGTTCTTGTTTTTCAGGCAAACGGATTTTTTTGTGGCGAGTGGGGAATTTGGGGGGG